GCTGTGTTCATCCAGCTGTACACCTTGTTATCTCTGTTAATGTCAACTCAGCTTTCTCTCCAAAGAGGCTCCAGCAATTTCTGTTTTTGTTTCAGATAGAATAATAGAGTCATACAGCGTGGAAATGGACCCTTCTGTCCAACTTGTGTGCGCTGACCAGACGTTCCAATGTGATGTCATCCCATTTGCCAGCTTTTGGCACATATCCCTCTAAATCCTTCCTATTCACGTACCTATCCAGATGTCTTTTTCTTCTATTCATTTGTGCGATATGGGTGTCGCTGGCTGATCAGCATTTATTGCCCATCCTTAGTTGGCCTTGTAGGCCAGACCAGGTGAGGATGGCCAGTTTCCTTCTCTGATGGACAATAGTGAACCAGCAGTGTTTTTCCAACAATAATGATTTCATGGTCATCAGTAGATTCTTAATTCTAACCTTTTAAATGTTATAATTGTGCCTGCCTCCACAACTTCCTCTGGCAGCTCATTTCATCACCCTCTGTGTGGAAAAAGTTACCCCTTGTTTCCTTTTTTAAATTTTTACCGTTTCACTTTAACCTATGCCCTCTAGTATTGGACTCCTCCAGCCTAGGAAAATATTATTGGCTATTCAGCATTTGCAACTGTTTGTTTTATTTTGTAGCACTTGAGATGATTGATTATCAATTTCTGCTGTAATATTAAGGCCCAGTGCAGCCTAAATATTTTTACCCCCCCTCCATCTCCCCCATTCTTTCGTCTGTGGTCAGCCTTCCTGTGGGTTTCAGAGTTTTTAAAAAAAAAACGCAGCCACGTTCTGGATGAAATAAACCTGTACTTAAATTAATAATTGGATTATATGTTTTCAATACAAGTTTGTAAGTTCCCAGTACTGGGGTGATTTTTTTTTTCCCCCAGCAGTGCCGGTTGCTCGGGCTGTTCTTGTGGACATGGAGCCAAAAGTCATCAGCCGCACTTTATCCAAAGCTGTGAAGTCAGGGCAGTGGAGTTATGGAAACCAATCCTACTTCTGCCAAAAACAAGGATCTGGAAACAATTGGGCAAATGGGTAAGAATGAATTTAGCCATCACGACAACACCTACAGTACATGGACTGCAGTGGTTCAAGCAGGTAACTCACCACCAGCTTCTTAAGGGCAACTAGGAATGGGCAGCCATCGATACCCACATCCATGAATGAATTTAAGAAAAAACACTCTGAAACAGCAACTTTCCTTTGACAATCCTTTACTTGTAGAGAAATTGACTTTGTTTCTTGTAGTAATACCTATGTATGTTGTGTGAACGTCATTAAAAGAAAATGTACTTTACAAAAGCTTTTCAATCTTCTGCATTTATGCATGAATGTATGCACACTGACCAGTGTATCCCTTTGTTTTATTGCTTTGAAATGGTGATCAGATGTGAGCATTTTCCAAGCTTCTTCCCTGTCTAATTTCTCCTGTAGGTGTATGTGCAGAGTAAGGTTCTGCTGCTGCTCAAAACCATTGTTTGATATTTCAAATTTGCAGCCTTCAAACTTGTGTTGAGAGCTAAACTGAGCCCAGCTGACACTTGCATAGCCCCAATACAAGATTTTGAACAGAATATTTTAAATTTCCAACATCTGCGCATTTTGTATTGTTATCTGAAAGCATTTGATCCACAGTGCTGAGTTGAGATAGTGCTGCACTACCGGAGGTACTGCTTTTCAAGCAAGACTTAAAGCTGACTTGAGTAGGGAGCTGAAGGTGAAGGAACCCCTTGGGGGCAGTGACCATAATATGATAGAATTCACGCTGCGGTTTGAGAGGGAGAAGATTGAATCAGATACAACAGTTTTACAATTGAGAAAAGATTAAGGAGGTGGCCAGAGTAGATTGGAAGGGAAGCCTAGCAGGGAAGATGGTGGAGCAGCAATGGCAGAAGTTTCTGGGGTTAATTCGGGGCGGGTCAGCAGAAATTCATCCCAAGGAACAAGAAGCATACTCCTGAGAGGACGAGGCAACTGTGGCTGACAAGGGAAGTCAGGGACAGTGTAAAATCAAGAGTTTGCATACTATGTGGTAAAGATAAGTGGGAAGCCTTTTAAAAACCAGAAAAGCCTAACTAAAAATGCGATGTCGGGGAGATGATGAAATCTGAGAGTCCATAGCTCGTAATGTAAAAGAAGATAAGTGTGGAGTTGGAGGAGCACAGCAGGCCAGGCAGCATCAGAGGAGCAGGAACGTTGACGTTTCTGATTGGGACCCTTCTTCAGAAATGATTTCTGAAGAAGGGTCCTGACCCAAAACGTCAACTTTCTTCCTCTGATGCTGCCTGGCCTGCTGTGCTCTCCAGCTCCACACTGTGTTATTTCTGACTCCAGCATTGGCAGTTCTTACTATCTCTCAATGTAAAAGAAGAATTTTTTAAAAAGATATCTAAAAAGTAAGAGCAAGGCAAGATTGGACATTGATTTGCTAGAAAGTGACGCTAGGGAAGTAGTAATGAGGAACAAGAAATAGTGGAGGAACTGAATAGGTACTTTGCATCTGTTTTCAGAGGAAGACACTAGCAACATACCAGACTTCAAGAGAGTCAGGGCATCACTAAATTGAAAGTCTGGGAAAGCTGAAAGGTCTGAAGGTCACTATAATGATAATTCAGAAGTGCTTCAATGACTGGAACGTGCTTTAGAACGTATTAATGGGTACAATAGAAATTCAAGTCTTTTCTGTTTCCTGTTTACCTTAGCATGAATAAAATGTTTAATTTGTGTTTTGCTGCTTAGATTCTGTATCCATGGTCCTCAGCATGAAGAAGCTGTGATGGATTTAGTGCGAAAGGAGGTGGAGCAGTGTGAGAGACTTGGTGGCTTTATTCCAATAATGAGTCTGGCTGGAGGCACTGGCTCTGGCTTGGGGACTTACGTCACTCAGTGTTTACGGGATACTTACCCAAACTCGTTCATATTGAACCAGCTCACCTGGCCTTATGGAACTGGAGAGGTAGGATTGGTTGCTGGTGGTGGTGGTGTGAAGTTCATTAAATTCCACTGCCCACTTAAATTGGGGTGGATGGAAATGATATTTTTACGAATTAGAATAACTTAATCTGACAATTGCCAAAAGATAAATTAATTTTTTATAACTTAATGTCAATTAATTGCTAATCTTTCTAAAATTAATTTGAGATCCTTAGCTTCCCTATTAAAGTTGAGTGTGTGACCTCGTCACTGATGGTTAAGGTGCCTTGGAGGGTTCTGCTCTGCAGTGCTGTAGAGAACTGCATTGTGTTTATGTGGGATTTGGCATTGTGCAGAAATTTATTCAGATTATTGGTCCTTTATTTTTAATAGAATTTTTAAGGGAAGGCGATGGCCTGGTGGTATTATCGCTGGATTGTTAATCCAGAGACCCAGATAATGTTCTGGGAACCTGTGTTTGAATCCTGCCACAGCAGATGGTGGAATTTGAATTCAATGAAAAAAAATCTGGAATTAAAAGCCTAATGATGACCTTTAATCCATTGACGCTTGTTGGAAAAACTCATCTGGTTCACTCATGTTCTTTAGGAAAGGAAACTGCCATCCTTACCTGGTCTGGCCTACATGTGATTCCAGACCCACAGCAGTGTGGTCAACTCATAACTGCCCTCTGGGCAATTAGGGATGGCCAGTAAATGCTGGCCTGGCCAGTGATGCCCTCATCTCATGAACGAATGAAAAAAAATTTCTGTAGATTTTGGGAGCAGGCTGCCTCCTAACCTTGTCTTAGCCAGTCAGGATTTCACATGAGTTGATCATTTGGGCATTGTCAGGTTCTGCAGTGCTTCAGTGGCTAAACCCTCACCTTTCAGTCAGAGGCCTATTGGTTCAAGTCCCACCCCAGGGATTTGAGTGCTGAAATGAAGACTGACACACTCTGTGCTGTACTATCAGATGTACCATCTTTTGGATGAGATTTTAAATTGTGGTCCTGTCTGTTCTCTTAGATGGGCATCAAAGATTTCATTTCACCATTGGAACAAGAGTGACTATATGCCATATGTGTTTAATGGGCTATGAAATACTTCTCAAAGTTTGGAAGCACTGTTTTTCTTCCCTTTCCCTGCTGTTGCCCTCTGGCTATTCTTCTGCTTCAATATCTTTTTCCTTCCACCTTGCTTCTATGAAAGTGCCTGAGAAATAGGTGAAAAAGCACCACAATGTTTCAGAGTCATAACGCCCAGAAGGAGGCCAGTTGGCCCGTCAAGTCCAATCTAACACTGTTCAGCTGGACAAGTTGTGACTACCCAGAAGACTACTACAAATGTGATCAGTCATTGTGTGACAATGCTGTAATTGCGACTTGCCAGTAATTGACATTTACGGCACACAAACAGGCTACCTAGCTCAGCTGCTCCATGCTGTTGTTCATGCCCTATTCAAGCTTCCTCCCAAATCCTATCAACATATTCTTTTGTTCCTTTTCGTCTTGTGTCTATTCGATTTCTCCTTAAATGTATCAATACTATTGACATCACCAGCTCATCGTGGGAGTGAGTCTGTCACTTCCTGCGTAAAGACTTTTTTTCTGTATCTCTATTGAATTAATGACTGTTGTATATTTATAGCCCCGAGTTCTAATTTCTCCAGCAAGTGAAAACATTTTCTCTGCACATATTCTCTCAAACCCTTTCATAATGCTAACAGCCTCCATTGGGACAGTTTATCATCTGTTGTTCTGGAGGTGAGAGCTCCAGCCTTCTCAGTATTTGGTTGTAAACCCTCAGTTCTCATTATGTAAATTGTTTTTTGCACCTGTTCCAGAGCCTTTCGTTTAATGTACAGCCCAGAACTATCCACTATTTCAAGTATAGTGTAGCCAGAGTTCTAAGAAGTTTAACATTTTCCCTTTCCCTGCTATTGCCCTCTGGCTATTCTTCTGCTTCAATATCTTTTTCCTTCCACCTTGCTTCTATGAAAGTGCTTCCTGTTTTCCCAGTGCTTCCTTTGCTTTTTCCTTAATGACATTCTTAAACTTTGCCACTGGTTTCAGTGATTTGTTTATCTGTGCACCCGATCTCCCTTTCCCTCCACCCAACATTATCTAGGGTGCGTGAGGTTTCCTTATTTTTCTGAGACAGCATCTCATACTGTGATAGAGAGCAGGGATATGGGCTTCAGGTTTGTATGATGGGGGTAAGGCAATGGGGGCTACATGACCTTTTTGTATTCCTACATTTCTTTCGCTGAAAGAGCTTTTTGTTCTTGGTCAGGTTATTGTCCAGGATTATAATGCAGTGCTGACGCTGTCTCACTTGTATCAGTCTTCTGATGCACTTTTGATTCATGAGAATGACACTGTTCACAAGATTTGCTCCCAACTGATGAACATAAAGCGGATTTCCTTCACAGACATCAACAAAGTCATTGCTCACCAGCTCGGGAGTGTCTTACAGCCAGCATGCACCAGATGGAGTATTTCAGAATATGGCACAAATCCTCTTGGTAAGAAGAAACTCCATTTTATCAACCATCCTCTACATTTCTTTCTGTTCCCTGACTTTGATACTCTTGTAAGATCAGGTAAGTAGGACATAACCAGTCTGTAATTACTGACGATTACACATGTCCAGTGACTGATATCAAATGTGATCCACTTAGTCCATAACATGCCTATGTAGTGTCTTTCATTGTCTAGTATGTGCACTTCTGCTTGAACATGCATGCTCTTTGTTTAAATGCGTGCTAACTCCTATTCTGTCACTCTTTGTGAGTTCTCTTCTGCACACTTCCTTTCCATATATGGATTCTCTGTATTGCAAAAGCACATTCATTTCCTGTATACGGTCTCTCACTAATAGTTTACAGTAGAATCCTCATTGTTCATGTGGCTAAAATCTTGGTTGTTTCTTTTGGCTTTTCTCAGGCCAGGTTACTATAAACATCCACAAAACTGTTGTAACTTCTTATTCAGTTACTTTGTGTGCATCAGGATGTCACTGAATATTTCAGATCATATCACCATCTTTAACAGTGAGCTGTTGGTGTCTGATTCCTTCTGCTTAACATTGAGACAAGAAAAGTCCTCCTGGTGGATCTGTCCTGTCCCACACATGTGGTCACATTTCAGACACTTCCCACTCACCCACAGCCACAAGATCTCATGGTAGAGAAACAAAAAAAGTTAAAAATCCCATTCATTTGTGGCTGGGAGGAGGAGATGTCTGAATAATTCCTTTCAAACCCAATTTGGCAATGTAGGCTGATCCAAAGGACCACGGCCTCTGATTTAATATCTGCATTCCTATCCTTTTTTAAAAGGCTATTTGTCTCAGTATGAAACAGGTCCAACTCTTGCTTGATGGAATTCTATGATTCAGCGTCCATTACATCAGCAGGCTGGCTGTCCCAGAGGAATACTGATCCCTGGGAAAATGTAGTCTCCTGGTATCCAACCTAGACCTCAACTTAAACAAATTGAAGTTATGGCCTGTTTCCTCCCAAGTCTATTTAGACATAATCATATAGATAGAAACAGGCCTTTAGCCTACCATCTCTATCCCTACCAGCAAAGACCAGGCTACACTAATCCTATTTGCCTGCACTTCATCCATAGCCTACTGTGCCCTGGCATTTTAAGTACTCATCTGGATGATTCTTAAATGTTGCAAGAGTACTTGCCTCCACCATCCTTTCAGCCAGCGAGTTCCATATATCCACCACCCTTTTGGGTGAAAAGATTTTTCCTCCGATCTCCTCTAAATTAATTATTTGTCACTGTAAACTTGTGTGCTCTGGTTTTAAACACTTCTTCCAAGGGGAAAAGATTCTCATAATCTACTCTGTTTATACCATTCACAATTTATATATCTTGATCAGATTCCCCCACAGCTTCCTCTGCTCCAAGGAAAACAAACTCAGCTTATCCAGTCTCTCCTCCATAACTGAAAATTTTCATCTCAGGCAACATCCTGGTGAATCTCCTCTGCACTCTCTCCAGTGCAATCACTTCCTTCTAATAGTATGGCAACCAGAAGTTGCCTAACCAGTGTTTTATAAAGTTGGAACAAGACTTCCTTGCACCTGTATTCTGTACCTCAGCTAATGAAGGCAAGCACACTAAATGCCTTCTTCATTACCCCTGTCGACCTGTGTTGACACCTTCAGGGATCTATGGACTTGTACATCAAGGTCTCTTTATTCCTTAATACTCCCTAGGGCTCTGCCATTCATTGTGCACGCCCTTCCCTTATTAGACCTCCCAAAATGCATCACCCTGCACTTGTGATTAAATTCCATCTGCCATTGCTCTGTCCAATGTCTAGACAGCACTGACGATGTCACCTAGAAGCGAGATGAAACGTTTGCATGAAAACCAGTCAGCTTGGCGAACCAACCAACAACTCCATCCCTTGGGCTCTTATCTTTTGGACCAGTGTTCCATGTGGGACCTTGTCAAAGGCCTTAATGAAGTCCACATAAACCACATCAACTGCACTACCTTCATTAGTATATTTAACTACCTTTTCAAAAAAATCTTAAATTTAGATAGGATCTCCCTCCAACAAATCTGACTACCCTGATCAATTCCTGCTTTTTCAAATATGGATTAATCCTGTCCCTTAGAATTTTTTCCAACAATTTCTGTACCACTGATTACAGACTACCTGGTCTGTAATTACCTGGCCTATCCGTTTTGTCCTTCTTGAACAAAGGAACCACATTTGCTATCTTCCAGGCATCTGGCACCTTACCTGTGGCCAGTGAGGTATTAAACATCTCTACCAGGGCACCAGCAATTTTCTCCTTTGCCTCCCATAGCAGCTTGCAATATATCTCTCAGGCCCTGGGGATGTGTGCACCTGTATGCCCGTTAAAATGTCTAATACCACCACCTTATTAATCTTAACATGTTCTAGAACCTCACCATACCAACTGAAGTCCCTGGCTACAATGTCTTTCTCTTTTGTGAATATAGATGAGAAATATTCATTCAAGACCTCGCCCACGTCCTCTGGCTCCATACACAGCTTTTACCTTCAGTCTGTAACAGATTCCACTCTTAAAATATTTATAAAAAGCGTTGGGATTTTTCTAGATCCCATCTGCCAAAGATATTTTCTGGCCCGTCTTTGCTCTATTAATGTCCCTTTAAAGTAGCCTCCTACACTGTACTTTTGAAGGGCATTGTACCTGGCACGTGCATCCTTCCTTTTACATAAGAACATAAGAAATAGGAGCAAGATTAGGCCATGTGGATGGTTGAACCTGCTCCGCCATTCAGTAAGATGATGGCTGATCTTTTCGTGGACGCGGCTCCACTTATCCACCCGCTCACCATAATCCTTAATTCCTTTAATGTTCAAAGATTGATCTATCTTTGCCTTAAAATCATTCAATGAGGTAGCCTCAACTGCTTCATTGGGCATGCAATTCCACAGCTTCACAACTCTGTGGGTGAAAAAGTTCCACCTCAGTCCTACAACTGCTTCCATTTATTTTGAGGCTATGCTCCCTAGTTCTAGTTTCACCCGCCAGTGGAAATAACCTCCCTGCTTCTACCTTATCTATTCCCTTAATAATTTTATAGGTTTCTATGAGATTGTCCCTCAGTCTTCTAAATTTCAATGATTATAGTCCCAGTCTACTTGATCTCTCCAAATTTGCCAACCCTGTTAACTCTGGAGTCAACCTACTGAACTTCTTTTGCACTTCCTCCAGTGCCACTCCATCCTTTCTCCAGTAAGGAGACCAAAACTACACCGTATTCCAGGTGTGGCCTCACCAGCACCATATTCAGCTGCAGCATAACCTCTCTATTTTTAAACTCCATCCTCCTAGCAATGAAGGACAATATTCTATTTGCCTTCTCAATTACCTGCTGCACCTGCAAACCGACTTTGTGATTTGTGCACAAGGAGACCCAGGTCCCTCTGCACAGCAGCATACTGCAATTTTTTAAATAATAGTCCATTTTGCTGTTATTCCTACCAGAATGGATGATCTCACATTGACCAACATTGTACTCCATCTGCCAGACTCTTGCCCACTCACTTAAACTATCTATATCTCTCTTCAGACTTTGTGTCCTCTGCACACCTTGCACTACCACTTTTGCTTTACCAGACTCTCTATCCCTTGATATCCAGGGTTCCCTTAACCTGCTGCCCTCGCCCTTTACTGTTCGGTCCTGAATTGATTGAATGCATGTGACAATAAATGATTCAATTCAATGTAAAAATACAGTGAAAAGTGTGTACCTTTGCCATACATACATGGCACCATTCACATTAACATAGAATAAGACAAGAAAAGAAAACTTGAAAATGCAATTTTCCACTGCCGCAGTCCTGCTCCGGGCTTTCCAGCTAAAAGGGATTGGGGGAGGTGAAATAGAATTACGACAGAGGGAGAAAAGAAAGGACAAAGAAAGAAATAGAAAAAGAACTGGCGAGCACAGTGGAGCTCTGAATGCAGTGACTTACCCTGCTGCCATCTTGCTGAAATTCTCATTGTTACTTTTGAAAGACGCCACTTTCCAAATGTAGACTTATCCACAAGTAGCCGCCCCCAGTCTATTTGCCAGATCCTGTCTAATCATTGAAATTGGTCTGCCCCAATTTGGACACTTAATTTCTGCATGATCAATATCCCTTTTCATAATGATTTTGAAACTTAGAATTATGGTCACTATCACCAAAATTCTAGCCCACTGAAACTGCGACCATTTGACTGGCTTCGTTCTCTAGGATTAGTTCTAGCACTGCTCCATCTCTAGCCAGACTCTTTATGTACTGGCACAAAAAGCTCTCCTGGATGCACTTTTAAAAATTCCATGCTGTCTGATTCTTTCACACTAAGGCTATTCCAGTCAATGTTAGCAAAGTTGAAGTCCTTGACAACTGTAACCCTGTTTCTCTCACATTTTTCTATGATTTGCCTACATATCTGCTTCTCTTTCTTCCTGTCACTCTTGAGAGACCTGTAATGTAATCCCAGCAAGATAATCACCCATTTGTTTTTTATTCCTAAGCTCTACCCAAATGGGCTCATTTGAAGTCCTTTCTAGGATGTCCTCCCCATTTACTGCGTGATGGTTTCTTTTTATCAATAATGCAATGACCCAATCCTCATTGTCACCTGAAACTTCAGTGAGCTGCCAGTTCTGTCCTTCCTTCAGCCAAGTTCATCTGCCTTACCAGTCAAGCTCCTTGCATTAAAGTAGATGCACTTCAACTTTCCAGATCTCCCGTATGCCTTATCTTCCCCATGTCTTCTCCGCTTTCTGGACGTCCTGGCATTCCTTCTACATCTGATTGGGCCTTACTCCTGACTTTACATCTGCTCTGTGCCCCATTCACCTGCCAAATCAGTTTAAATATTAATGGACAACTTCAATTTACATAGGGGCTGAGATAAGTCAGCACTAATGCTATGGAGGTGTGTAGATGAAGGAGAACCAGTGGATCTGGTATATTTAGATTTTCAGAAGGCATTTACTCAGTTACACACGGAGGTTAGTAAATGAAATGAAAGCATAAAGGTTTAGGGTGATATACTAATGTGAAGTGAGAATTTAACAGCCAGAAAGCAGGAAGTAGGAGTAAATGGATAGTTCTCAGGATGATAGGCTATTACAAATGGGACACTGCAAGAGCCAGTCCTGGGGCCATTGCTGTTCCCAATCCATATAAATGACTGTGAGACACTGGATTAGAAATAGGCCATTCAGTCCACTGAGTCCGCTCTGTTATTCATTGTAGCCATGGCTGACCTGATAATCCGCAACTCCACTTTTCTGTCTTTGCCCCATAAGCCTTGACTTGGATGTGGAGATGCCGGTGTTGGACTAGGGTGGACAAAGTCAGAAGTCTCATGACATCAGGGTGTAGTCCAACAGGTTTATTTAAAATCACAAGCTTTCTGAGCGCTGCTTCTTTGTTAGGTGAAGTGCAACTTCAGTGAGGTTTCAAGAGGACTTTGACAGGCTATGTGAATGGGCTTAAACACAACAGATGGAATTAATGTGAATAAGTGTGAAGTTATTCACTTTTTTGTAGGGAAAAAAAAAAGCAGAATAATTTTAAATGGTGAGAAATGGTCAGATGCACTACAAAAGAGACCAAGGTTCCTCAGACATCATCTTTCAACCAAGATACGGTTGGCAGAAACAGGAATACCACCAGCAAAACAGTCTAATGATGACCATGAAGCCATTGTTGATTGTCAGAGAAACCCATTTGCTTCACTAATGTTCTTTAGGGAAGGAACTGGCATCCTTACCTGCTCTAGCCTACATGTAACTCCAGATACACGGCAGTGTGGTTGACTCTTAACTGCCTTCTGGGCAATTAGGGATGGGCAATAAATGCTACCCAGCCAGCGATTCCCTCATCCCGTAAATGAATAAAGAAAAGAAGAGCAAGTTCCCTTTGAAGCTATTTGCCAGCCTGAGTCGGAAGTATATTACCATTCCTTCAGTGTTACTGGGTCAAAATTCTGCTGCTCCCTCTCTATTAGCATTGACTGTACTTATGACAAATGGATTACATCAGTTCAAAAAGACAGCTTACCACCAGCTGCTCAAAGGCACCTAGGAAGGGCAATAAGTAAGCCAGTGACCACCCATGCTCCATGAATGAATAAAAAAGGGTGAGAATTGTAGGTGTTCAAAGGGATCTGGGTGTCCATGTCCTTGAGTCACTGAAAGCAAGCAGTTAGGAAGTCAGAGTATATGTTGGCATTCGTTTTAAGAGTATTTGAGTACAGAAGAAAAGTAGTTCCCTATGTAAAGGGCATTGCAGGTCAACCTACAGCACATGGACTGCAGCACCTCAAGAAAACAGCTTAGTACCATGTTCTCGAGGGAAACTAGGGACAGGCAATAAATGCTGTCCCAGCCAGTGACACCCATGTCCCATGAGTGAATAAAAACAAAAAAAAAATACAGTTGTTTAGAGCCTTAGTGAGATCTTAGTTGGAACATTGTGTCTAGTTTTGGCCCCCTTATCTATGAAAGAACTGAGATGAGAAGGAATTTTTTCAGCCAGAGGATGGTGACTCTCTGGAACTGTGCCACTGGGGGCTGCAGAGGCCAAGTCATTGAGTGTATTTAAGATAGACTTAGGATCTTTGTTAATAAGGGGACCAAGGGTTATGGGGAGAAGACAGGAGACTGGATTTGAGAAACATATCAGCCACGATCAAATGGCGGAGCAGATTCGATGGGCTGAATGCCTAATTCTACTCCTGTATCTTATGGAAAGGATATACTTGCCATAGAAGGCATTCGATGGAGATTGACCCAATTAATCCCTTAGATGGCAGGATTGTTTTATAATGAGGGATTGAGGCAAATGGGTCTGTATTCCTGGAAGTTGTAAAAGATGAGAGGTGATCTCTTGAACTTAAAATGCATGACAGGGTGGATGCAAATAGGATGTTTCCTCTGCCTGGTTACTCTAGAACTGAGGAACATATTCGCAGGTTAAAGAGCAGGCCATTTAAGACTGAGTTGTGAACAAATTTCTTCACACAGTGGTGAATTCTTTGGCTTTCTCTACTCCAGAGGGCTGTTGAAAGTCCAACTTCATTGTCTTTCAGTTTGCAGGAGGATTAGAGAATCCTGGGAATTCTGAAAAATTAATGTCAGTGGCATTTACAATATCTTAAACAGACTCATGGAAATTGCCCCTTTACTGTTCATTTCAATACATGTGAGATTACTTCTCACTGGACTTAGTAAAATGCAGTCATTACACCAGTGTTTCTATTCTGGACCTCAAATTTCACATTTTCCTTAATGCTTTCAAACTGTGTAAGTTTTTCAATCTGAACTTGGCCCAATCTAATCAGTAATGATTGAACTCATTCTTTCTGTTTCTACATTTGCTATTCCACATTGTCTTTGCCTTTTTGCCTAACTGCACGTATAACATAAAATATTGAATTTTTATAGTGTTTGACAGACCAAAGTAAATCTGTTCAAGATATGCAGCTGATGTTTGCTTTTCCTCTGTCTGCAGGTGATCTGCTAGAAAGTTTGGTGACACATCCAGAGTATAAGCTGCTAAGCCTGATGAACACCCCATTGATGTCTGACAAGTCTCTGCAATTCAGTACGTTTACCTGGCCAGCTCTTGTGAAGAATTTGCGACAAATGCTGATTTCCAATGCTAAAATGGAAGCAGGTTCGTGATGTCTTCTTCACAACAAACAACAACAACTTGCATTATATAATGCCTTTAAGCTGGAAAAATATAACTCTCCACGGGAAAGTAAGAGAAAAATGGGTACTGAGTTACAGGACAAGCTTTTGAGATTTTGATGTGAAAATATATTGCTATTCCTTCAGTGTCACTGTGTCAAAAATTTGGGTCTCCCTCTCCGACAGCACTGTGGATCTACCTGCAGCAAATGGACTGCAACGGTTCAAGAAGGAAGCTTGCCATCTCCTTCTGTAGGGCAACTAGGGATGGACAATAAATGCTTGCCCAGTCAGTGATGCCCATATTGCATGAATAAATAAAAAAAAGTCTGCCAATGTGTCTCTACAGACCAAGCCCTTGACCTGGGACCCAATGTCCCAGTCACTTCAAGTTCAAATTCAAACTGAGTGTTAGTGAGCGAGTTATTGCTAAGTTATTGCTGCTTGATAGCAATTATTGATGAGAACTTTCATCACTTTAGTGTTTTTCGAGAGTAGACTGATTGTGTGGTCATTGTTTGTTGGGTTGGATTTGTCCTTCTTTTTGTTTATAGGACATACCTAGAAAATCTTTCAGAACGTTAGGTAGAACCCAGTGTGGTAGCTGCAGTGGAATATCTTAGCTCGGTGCAGCAAGTTCTGAAACGCGTGTCTTTCTGTAAAACTGCTGGAATGGTCTTACGACCTGTAATCTTTGCAGCATCCAGTGCCTACAACTGTTTCTTGACATCATGTGGAGTGAATAATAATCGCTGAAGACTGGCATCTGTGATGCTGCTGACTTGTAGAAGAAACTGAGATGGAATCATCCACTCGGCACCTCTGACTGAAGATAGTTGCAAATATGTCAGCTTTTTGCACTAATATTCTGGGCTGTCCCATTGTTGAGGTTGGAGATGTTCATGGAGCATCCTCCAGTGAGATGTTTAATTGCCCACCACCATTCACGATTAGATGCGCAGGAAGTATTTCAGAGCACTTGGCAACTATATAGTATCCCAGTTAAAAAGGGAGATTCTATGGCAAGCACCATCTGTTGGTGACTAAGGAAGTTAAAGATATTTTCAAGCTGAAAGAGAAAGCATATATTTCTGCATGGAGATAGTAAGAACTGCTGATGCTGGAGTCAGAGATAACACAGTGTGGAGCTGGAGGA